CTCAGCAAGACTCTGTTGACAAGAAAAACATGGAGCGGTATTTGTGCGTCAGAGACAAGGGCAACGAACTCATCAAGTTCCACAAATTCAAATTTTCAAATAGACGTCTGATTTTTCCAGCGTATTCCAAATTGAACGTTTATTAACAGGTGAATTCTTTTTTAGAACACGTTCTATTAAGAGAACTGTCATTTGGAATGTTTTGAATGGCACCATTCAACAAAAACATGTTTTCATGCCCGCAACCAAGGGGGGGTTGCGTGGTTCGAAAGACCCACCCCTCACTGACAAAATGCCAGGATTTCTCCCATACATGTGCTCATTTGTCCTATATTTTGACTGCTATACCATCCTAAATGGTGAAATTAAGCCATCGAAAGAGTGGAATCCTCTGTTGAGTGTTGCTTCAGTGTAACTTTAGCTAATCAGTTTTTTCATGAGTTCAACATCCAGCTGTGCAAGAAACATACTGCTATATTGTTTTTAAAATTAAAAAAAATTGTACAAGTGACTTTTATTCTATTCTTGAAGCAAAAAATGACCAATGAAAATGTGTAAAGCACCAAAAGTGACAGATATTTAAATTAATTTGAATACTATTTTGGCTATAGCTAGTTGTTATCAATGAATTTTCAAATCTACTTTTTTGGTTATGATGACCATCTGACAATCTATTCCAGCTAAAAGTGTTAAAAATTGTACTAAAATGCAGTATTTATAAATCAAAATTAAATAGTAGCCTAATGAGGCCTATAACCGCAACTTTTTGAGAAAAAAAGAATCACCCCTTTTACCAGGCTGGCTACAGGTCTGTGTTTATACATCGGGGGTGAGATTTGAGTCACTGGAAAGCAAATCATCAAGTTATGTAATTAAATATTTGTTTTTTGGGTTTGTGATGATTCTATTTCTTAAAAGAAAATACTGAAAACTACATGTGTATATACTGTAACATAGAAGTGAAAGTGATGTGAAACCATATTTTCATTAATGCTACAATACAATCCATTTACATGTACATTTCTTTTCCTATATTACTAAATTAATCAGTATAAATAGGAAAACGTAAAGTTGTAAAAGATCTTTTCCCATTTGGACTAGCTTGAAAATGCAACATTCACTTTTCCTTTTTGGCTTAGTCCCTTATTTATCAGTGGTCACCACAGCAGAATGAACCGCCAACTGTTCTGCCATATGTTTTACACAGCGGATGCCCTTCCAGCTGCAATCCAGTACTGGAAAACTGCCCTTTAACAGGGGCAATGTCATAAGACATTAATATTTTGATGACCAATTCATTCATTCATTTTCTTGTCGGCTTAGTCCCTTTATTAATCCGGGGTCGCCACAGCAGAATGAACCGCCAACTTATCCAGCAAGTTGTTACGCAACGGATGCCCTTCCAGCAGCAACCCATCTCTGGGAAATTGACGACCAATTACAATGGCAAATAAAATTCGGTTGATTTTAGGTTGTGTTGGAAAGTGACCAAAATCCAACATCGAGCCAACATAAACCAACATCATGTTGACGTCAAATGCTGACATTTATTCATCAGGTATGGTAACCAAAAAATCCAATGTCTAATAGACGTCATAGTGGTAACGTCCATCATTAGGGGTTGATATTTGGTTGATTTTAGGTTGGACGTTGGACACTGACGCTGCCGTTGGGTTCTGGCAACAACCTGATTTTCATTTCTAGACAAACTGCAACATCCCAACGACATTGGGGTACATCGTCATTCTGATGTCATGATGATGTCCTGTGGTATTTGAAAATGATGACACACAGTCTTGTGAGTCATAGTTAAAATGCTAATCTTTTTTTTCATGGTGCTGTTTGATAAAGAAAACGGAAAACATGATGTACAGAATGATGTACAGAAAACATTTTTAAAGTGGACAGCAAGATGACATCAGTGTTACAGGCGTACAATCTTTACATTTGTGCAGAGACGTCAGAAAATGGACTTGTAATTCTGATTAGTAATAAAACAATTGGTTTGGATAGTTTACTGTGAGAACGGAGAACATCAATACCATTTTCAAATGTACAAAATCAGGTAGTAAAGGGTGCAAATGAACCACAAGCCAAAAACAAAAGCATCACAAACGATGCCAAAGTCAGTGTCGTTTAATGTCATTAAGCCCATATTATATGACACCTTGTTAGCATTCATCTTTACCATGCTAACTCTACAAAAACCTAGAATTAACCGTGAATTAAGCACTCAGACAAAGGCTGCACCATAAATACATTCCTCAGGCCATCTCCACACTTGTATTGGTTTGAAATTACTTATTTATCTCTCCATTTTGGCCTTCCATCCATGTTGATAAAAAAAAAGATCTTTTAAAAAAAGTAGATGACTTTGAAAATGCACTTTTTGAGTTGCAGTACGGACTGAAAACGGAGGCTTTTGAAAACATTGATTTGTTTTTAGACCAGTTCAGCTAAAGTGGTGGACAAAATTGTTCAGCGGCTGCTTTGGATTCCAATAGTATCTGCATGCAGACTTGAATTTGCAAGCTGAGACTGCATATTTCAGAGATGCAATATGTCCTGCCCAAAGTCCCTCTATCGGCCCTTACAATCATGGCCTCAAAATCATTCCCATCCCCCGAATTGGCTCTATCACTGTCACCACTCCACCAATAGCTGGTGTGCGGTGAGCGCATTGTCACCGTCGCATCTACCAAGTGGATGCTGCACACTGGTGGTGGTATGGAGAGACCCCTCTTATGATTGTAAAGCACTTTGGGTGTATGGCCATCAGGGGCGCAACTACACATTAACTGAGGGGTATGCGGGTTCAAATTTTGTGCAATCCCTCTTATTTTATATTAATTAATTAATAATAAATGAAGACAAATTTTCAGGTTAATCTTATAACTTTTGACATTATGTATGATTTGACAGTTTATTTTGATAAAAACAAAAGCAAATCTAAACAGTACATCTACATGAACACTTTCGGCTGTGGGACTGCATGTTATTGTGTTAAATGATTTTGAATTAAACAATAACAATATTATATTCGTTTAAAATGCAAAATAATGTTTTTTAACAAAACATATTTATTTATTTTTATTATTTGAAACTTTTAATAAGGATAATTTGAAAAAATAGTTTTGGCACAACGGCGCCCCCCCCCATGTGTGGCGCCCCTATGCGCCGCATATACTGCATACCCCCTTGTTGCGCCACTGATGGCCATGCACAATAAATGCGCTATATAAATACACATTACATTATATTACATTACATTACAAGACACAATGCACTCATTGGAGCTAGTGATGTCACTGTGAGGGGTAGGCTTAGGAGTGGGGGTTAGGTGAGCACAATAAAAAGCATTACATGCAGCCTACTTTGCAACTGCAGACCCCTCTCCTCCATTTGGACAGCATTGTTAAAGATTACTACAATCAATTCAATTCATCTTTATTTCTCTACTTTTACAACATAGATTGTGTCAACGCAGCTGAACATAGAAGTTCAGTGCCAGTTCAGTTTTCAGAGTTGAAGTTTAGTTCAGTTCAGTGTGGCTTAATTTTCACTGCTGAAAGTCCAAACACTGAAGAGCATGCGCAGCTCCACAAGTCCCAAACCAAGCAAGCCAGTGGCGAGGAACAAACTTCACCAATTGACAAAAGTGAAGGGAAAAACCTTGAGAGAAACCAGGCTCCGTTAAACACAACCATTACTTCTCCAGCCACAATTTATGTCAGTTTGTACATGCTCCAGATTGCTTTTCTTCAAAATACATGGAAGGTTTACCTAGATATGTTGTTTTGCATGTGTCCAAGTCTATATTCTCACTTGCACACTATTCCTTGACAAATTACAGAAGGAGATCAATCCCAACTCTCTTTTTAACTCATCTGGAGTCAACTCAACATGGGTCCTGTCCTGTTTTTGTGTGTTTGTGGTGCTCTTTTACACAATATTTTTTGGACATTACATGGTAGGAGGCATTAAGAAACAACAGTACCATTTCTAAGTGTATCTTAAGTCATAGGATGTAGCCTTACTAATTTAATATGCTTATTTCACGCGGCCGCCATTATAAATAACCAAATCGAGGCTGCAGTAGGAAGAGACCCGGAAGTATAGGTCCAACACTGTAAACATTGCAGTAACATGCTGTGGATAACAAACCCTTTAGCTGTTGCCGAGATTTCAAAATGCAGAAATGGTGTAAACATCACTTTAATATAATTCAGTAAGTTTAATTTAAACAATTAAAAGCAATTTAGGCATCAAACAACATCACAATCTCTGTAAGAGTAATATGCTCAAGTGTCCTCCTAGGCTTCAGCTCATGGCACCAGTTAAACACCATGGGGGACGCTTCCCTGCTTCAGCCTATGTAACCTGATAACCGATAAAACACTGCAGTCCTCTGTAGCACGCTCTTGTGTTGTCCTGGTACTGAAGTTTTAAAAAAGTCTATTTCCTGCTAACATTCAAGCGCTTCTGAGTGCGTTTATAAACAGCACTGATTTACCATAGTATTCACCAGTGCTCATCAGTTTACCGCTCTTCACCCAGTGCAAACACAGATATACAGAGACTGGAGCGCGAAGCAGCCGTGAAGATCAGTCGAGTCATCAAGCGGATCGGTGAATTGATGACCTTCTTGGCCAATCACAATCATTTCTGTTGCACACGTGAGCACAATGGCAAATCAGCGCTGTTTTAAGACAACCATCAACAGTGCCTTAAATGTTAACGGGAAATTGGCGCTTTTCTTTAAATTCAGTATCGTGACGAGTCTAATATAGTGAAAGAATCAGTTCATTAACTTAAGTTTGATAAATGGCATCTAAAACGTGTGTTTGGGAAAGAAAACGTTAGCTAACTAGTGCCATTTCCCTTAACTTAGCTGAAAATGAGATCTGATATGCCTTTTAACATTCACCATTCATTCAGAACGGACCTTCGGGTCACTCGGAAGGCGGTGAAATTATTAATTTGTGTCACTTTCTCTTCGCTGATAAGATATACAGCCAGGTACACAACGTTCCTATGTAACTCCCAACGATACTTCCGGGTTTCTTCCAACCGCAGCCTCGATTTCACTTTTAAAAATGGCCGCGTGAAATCAGTCCATTGACAAGAAAGTGCCTATTGTATATTATACATTGTGCCATTGACTTAAGGCAGTTGGGGTAGCAAATTAACCACAAAGCTGAAAACAAAAGCATCACAAATGATGTCAAAGTCAATATAACATGAGACCTTGTCAGCTTTTGATCTTTCCCCAAAGATCAATGCTTCAAAATCTTACAAAATTCTTGGTCCGACGACCCAGAATAAATTGTGAATTAAGAACCCAAAGAAACGCTTCACCAGGCTTATTTCTCTTTGGTTCTGTCCATTTTTACAGTGCAGGGAGATCATCACACTTAATCTGTTTATTTAGTGTGTATTTTTGTCCAGCTGAAACACAGCAGCATCCAATGATTGAGTCTCATTAGTCTGACGGTTGATACCAAAGTCATCTGCACTCCCTATAAAAAGGAGTTTGAGCTTTCGAAACTGACCTGGCAACAACTCAACATGGGTCCTTCTCTGGGTTTATAGCTTGTAGCAGTAGTTTAGATTGGAAAACCTTTAGAAAATGTGTCAGAAACAAGATTATTTGTCAGATTACAAGCTAGTGAAGGATGCAAATAAACTGCCAAGCCGAAAACAAACACATCACAATTATTGTCAAAGTCTGTATTTTTCCATCCAAAAATAATTGTCAATTAAGTACCCAGAGAAAGGTCACACCACTAGTCCTTCAGTAATGAGAGTGTGGGGAGATCATCAAGCTTATTCCATTGGGTTGAGGCAAATTTTGGGCATCGTTGTGAGGCTGAATATAACAGCAGCGATTAGTTGTCTCTTAGTGCTGATGTCTGATACTAAAGTCATTTGGACTGCCTACAGGTGAAGGTCAAGCTCAACTCTTTCGTAACTGACCGATAATAAGTGAACATGGTCCTGCCATGGGTTTGTGGCTCTAGTGTTGATAGCTTGTTTACAAAAGCACATTTTTGATAATGAGAAAAATATGAACATTTTAAAACAAATATTTCTGGATTCATGCTGATGTCGCTTAACCAAATTAAATTACGAGAAATTACAAATCTTTTGTCCATTGTATCAATTGTGTAATCAGGCTGTTAAAAGATTGGCTCACACAAAAACAGTAATTCTGTTAATTACCAACTCTCATGTCATTCCAATCCCCTGAGACCCTCATTCATTATCGTAACACAAATTAAGACATTTTAGATTATATCCAAGTGCTGTCTGACCCTTCATAAACAGCAACGATCCAGAGAAGTACAGAAAAGAAACAAAAAAACATTATCACAACAGACTATGTGACTTCTGTGGTTCAACTGAAATCATACAAAGTGCTAATAACTCTTTTGTGCTGCAAAAAACTGTAATGATGACTTTGTTTGCCTTTGACGTCTCTCAGATGTGTTTACGATGGGCAAGCATCATATTGCACATAATGTGGAAGACAGGTGAACCATTCATTTTTACATTTTTTTGCTGTCTATGGATTTTGATGATTTGATCTAAAATATCTTAATTTGCGTTCCAAAAAGTGATGGGTTGTTCTTGAACGATTTGTCGAATTTTTTATGTCACTAGAGAATGATGATTCCTCTCAGGGAGTGATTCGTTCATTCACGCATGTGCATATTTGTGCAGGTAGAGTAGAAGATTAGTTTATTTTTCAAGTCTTTTATTGGGTTTGAGTCTTTCGTTCCTCATGTTAAAGAAAAAAGCCAATCATATGCAGTCAGAGGTTGAAAAAGATTTGATCTGTTCATCTCTCAAGTCCTCAGTTTTAGTTGTTTGTTCATCACGTGAAAGACAGAAGCCAATGTAACGGAGGCCAGCTAGTGTGTGCTGTGCAGGTAAACCTCACTCCTCTGACCTCTAAAGGTGCTCTAGCGACAGACACTAGAGGCCATGGTCTTTAGCCTCCTTGGTAGAGCAACTGGCTTCCATGCAGAAGGACGCTGGTTCGATACCGGCTCGGAGCGGGTTGGGTGGCGTAGGACCGGTGAGATTACACCAATCATGCATTAAGAGCTGGAAAAAGATTTGATCCGTTTATTTTTTGAGTCTTCGGTTTGGACTCATCTCTTTACATGCTGTCTCGTGATGAACGAAAGACTAAAAATCCTGAATATTCAAAAGATGAACTAATCATTTGTGTTTCCGTCTCAGACTTGGTTAAGTTTATAGAACTGTTAGTGTCAGGTGAATGAACAACTTAAATTTAAAGACATGCCAGAAGAGGTGAGCAGAGCTAATCCTAGATAAAACACCAGGTAAACAATGAAGGATTATTTTCTCTTTCTTAATAGCATTGCATCGTATATTAGCATTTAAGTTATGACTAGTTTGTAGTGTGAGCAACGTTTGGGTGAGTTTTAGATGTGTTTGAAAGCATCTCTTAACATTAAGTTATTTTGGCACATTGAACGAAAAGACTCGAACGAAAAAAGCTTCGCTCATCTCCATAAATGAGACTCAAAGGTCTTGAGTCAGTAAAATGATCCAAACTTCCCATCACTAGTTCTAAGGCTGAATAAAGGTCTCAGAAGATTGGAACACCAATAGATGACTAATTAATATTCCAAAGATTCCAGATTCCAAGGACAACGTCATTTAAGACCACAAAAGCTGCTTGATTAGTCCCTCAGTAATCCCAGTTTCTTCAAGGCTTCCCTTCGATTCTCACCATTTTTACCATTTGGGGAAATCATAACGCTTATTCCGTTGTGGCGAGGCAACTTTTGGGGCTCATTGCTGTGCTGGACTGCAGCTCCGTGAAGCAATTTGTGTGACTCTTCAGCCAAATGGCTGATACTAAACTCCTTTGCACTCCCTAAAGAAGAAGGTCCAGCTCGACTTCTTCGTAACTGGCCTGGTGACAACTCAACATTGGTCCTTTCTGGATTTGATGTCTGTGGAGGAATCACAGCACGATCCAAGGATGCCGATTTGATCTGGAAGGACTTTACTGCTTGCTTTTTGAAAGAACCTTCCCTGCTTTTTACCTCTTGGTGCTTTATAGCTTCTGTAGGTTGATGCACGTCCACTGGACTTTCAGAAAGTCTGGATGGTTCTTGAACAGTTTCTAAAGGTGCTATCGAGTGACCGGGTGACTGTGGATGAGATTTAGCTTTGAATGTTGGTGAATGAGAGGGAGAGATGCCAATGGGACCTGTCTCAACCTCTTCATTCTTCAGCAGGCCTAGTTTCATCAAAGCCTCCATTCGGATTTTCTGCGGATCCATCTGACTGCGTTCGTTTTGCGGTAGTAATGAATGGGTCGTCCCGGTGTCTTTGTGACTTTTGAGGATGATATTGGATGGGAGTTTCTTGGGTTTGGGTGCTACCGCAGGCGGGCTTTTAGAGTCGTTGTAGTCTTTTGGTAAAGCAGGAATGTGTTCAGATGATGGTGAAGGCGTCATCGGTTTGTCTACAGAAGAATGCTGTGCAACCATTATCGGTGCCAAGTGTGGTGCCTTCTTAATGGAGGCCTTCTTGCGTAGATTTTCAATCTCATTGTGGGATAATAAGACTTTTGATGTTTCTGGGTCAACAGTTTGTGATTTGGTCACCTCTGTTGGCTTGATAGATCCAGCAGAAGTATGTGGCTCCACATTGGGGAGTTCGGGAATCCATTCTGGGGGTTCATCGTAAATGGGTGGTGGCGGGCAATAAGCAAGGTTTACATTCTCCGGTGGTTTGTCCATGAAATCTGAAGGTGGAGGAATGAATTCCAGTGGCACCTCTGAGGACACCTTTTGCACCTTTACCTGGGATTTGACATTTAAACTCTCTGAAGCACCAACTTTGGCTTTGGTTTCATTACACAAACCTGTTTTAACTGGAGGCTCAGGTATGAAAGAAGGTGGCAAGTCCACCACATCACTTAACAGTCCAACGCTTGGTACTACTTTTGAAGGAGCATCTTCTGAAACTATCCGTCCATGTTGTTGATGGTCGGGGCTTGATCTGAACCCATCAGGTGCATCAATAAATCCCACAGGTGCTTCTACTGGAGCCTTTACCACAGGTGCTTCTACTGGAGCCTTTACCACAGGTGCTTCTACTGGAGCCTTTACCACAGGTTTGATTATCTTGTCATTTCCACTGGCAAGGAGCAATGGGGTTGGCACAAGGTACTTCTGAGGAGGTTTACCATCTTTTCCAATCACTTTGACTTGACCTTCGAGGGTAGAGAACTCTGAAAGAGAACATTTATAGGCTATTATTGAAACATCCCAAGCTATCTCTCTATGTATTTCAGTACATCTGTAGATCAGTGGTTGCCAATCTTTTTGAATTCACATCCCACTAAGGGAAGTTTTTAAACTAAATTCGAGAGGAGCACATGATATGATTGAATGCGGCTTGTCTCTCATCCATAATCAGTAATACACTAATCAGATTGATCCAAGCCTACAATAAATAGACAGATTTCACCCTAATGCCCTATCTTCGTTTTGTAAGAATCCCCCCTTCCACCCCATCTCCTCCTTTTCTTTCTTTACTAGGGGAAGCTCTCAAGATCTACCTGATCTTGGACCCCCTTACATGCACTGGATTCCTGTGCTCAATTATCTCTGAGGTCAGGGTTCTCTCTCAGGACAGCATGCCAAACCTGCTAATAGCGTCAAGCAATATCCAAGTGTGAACTCTTGAATGAACTCACTATTTTTGATCAACTTTTTCGGTGGGTTTTTATCTTACTCTAACACAAACTAATAGGTCACAATTACTAACTATTTACCACAATTACTAATTAGCAGTAAACAGTGAACGCATAGCAACAATTTATTATTAATTTCTTCCATCCACTTATTTTTATGAGCGTTATAGAGTTTCTCACGAACAAATGCATAATGGAAACGCCAAGATGTGCATGAGTTTTAAAGTCTTGCATAAAAACCTTATGCACACAAATGAGTTGGTTAACCTTTTTATCCGATAATATTAAAAACACATAAACTACAAGGTAGTAAGTTCAGTATTATTGTTATTATATTATTATTTCTTCAGAACTATCTTGAGCATCTGTGATCTCAAAGAGTGTCTCATGCCTCTAAAAGCCACCGAGTATTCATTGCATTTCATCTTCTAAGGTGCAACTTATTTATTATAGAAGAAAAAGCCCACAGTGGCTTCTCCTACAGCCAAACCTCTGATATTTAGAGCCAGTTTATCAGAAAGGTATGGTTTTGTTCTCGTTGACTCATTGGATGGCAATGATTTTAGTTTTGCACACGTTTAATTTGAATCTTTGGATGGAAACAAGGCTATTTTTACATATATTAACAATGTTATTGATAACAGATGGGGGCACGCAGGTTGAAAACCACTGCCGTAGATGTTTCTGGTGTTGGTGTTTACCCTGAGATTTGTTCTGACTGATGGAGGTCGGATGAGCAATGTTTTCTTTCAGGCCATTGGATGGACAATCAGGCTCATCGTTTGACAAACCGCTGTCATATTCTGCCTCCAAAGACTCAATGGTCTCCTCCAGAAACATCAAGCAGGCTTTCTCCTCCGCGGAAAGGTGCTCCAGACTGCCATCACTCTATCGCATAAAGAAATCAATACTTTTTTTAAACCAGGACACATTCAATTATATATGTTTAACAAACATTATATTGAATACATTTAAACTGAAACTAAAATTAAATGTTAAAAAAATGCTCTGCTTTTGCACTTTTAATAAAAAAAATCTTGAAAAATAAATTTTGATTTGTGCTTAACAATATCTTTCAATATTACAACTGTTAATAAGAAATATTTCTTTAGCATAAAATTGACAGTTTTAGACTTATTTCATGTGACACTGAAGACTGATCTAATGCTGTGTTCACACCAGATGCGGCATGCACGAATAAATTGCGTTATACATGCGTAAATAGATGCATGGACATTTTGAGTTTACTTGCTTAATTTATGTCTCAAATTCACTACACAATAGATGTGGATTCACGTCATGGGAAGAGCTTTTGTCTGCCCCGTGACTCTAGTTTCGTTGCAAAATGTCTAACAAGGTTTTTATTGAGATAGTAGCTTTGCTTTATGTGCTTTAGGAAGGCTGAAAAACAGCATAGATTTGTTTGGCGCCATGTCTGAGTGCACTAGATCCTTTCAGAGGTGCACCCAGCTCTGTGAGTTCATTAACTACTCCAGAATGTACACCTGATGATGGAAGCTTTCAGCGGTGCTTCAGACTGAGCTGAGCCAAATTTGACGAGCTTTTGTCCGGTAGCGGCAGGAGGATTTCCCCTTGGGACACCAACAAAAGGCGCTATGTCATAATCCCGCCCATACAAGAGCAAGCTCCTAATTGGTAACGCTGAAAGTCTGCTGAAGTTTAGATTTTCCAACTTGCGTGATTCGCGCATTTAGTGTGTCAAATGTGCAAAAAGATCAATTTGCAGCACTTCATTTGCGCAAATTGTACCGAAGGATGTCTATTCGCGCCTTTGCATTGACTTAACATGTAAACCACTAGCACATGACACTTCATCCGCATCTGGTGTAAACGCACCATAAGGGTGCTGAACATTTAGCTTTAAAACATTTTAACATTTAAAACATTTTGAAATATATTAAAATAAAAAAGAAAGAATAAAGGCAGCGTGAGCAGAAAAAGCATGTTTTACTTTTAAAGGCATAGTTTGAGCAAAACTGAAAATTCTGTCATCATTTACTCAACTTTCATTTGTCACAATCCTGTTTTCTGTTGAACAAAAAAAGAAGTTGTATTGAAAAATGGAAGTCAATGGTGTCATGTTTCAAAACATCCTGTTTTGTGTTCAACTGAAAAAAAGGAAACTCGTAAATGTTTAGAACCACTTGAAAGTTAGTAAATGATGAGTAAATCTTAATTTTTAGATGAACTATCGCTTTAACCCCTTTAGACCCTGCGTCCATTACAATGGACATCACATGACATCCCATTTTTCTGAAATTTGGAACATAATTCAGGTCTGAAGGGGTTAAGAAGACGAGTTCCTTATCAAAGTTAAATGCTGTTTAAAGCAATGGCTTACTCTCCTTTAACAATTGCATGATGTTAAAACATTCCATTTATATTTCCAGCGCTGTAAAAATGCTGGGTTCCACACAGTCGATTTGCGTTAGGACACTATGAAGGGTTTAACTTATTAGTTTTGTACATAAAACTATTTCAATCAATAGTTGTTGTTTATCTTTTTATTAGGTAACTGTTCGGTAACACTGTAGAATAATGTACCATTAGTTAATGTTAGTAATGTAGTCACTTACATTCATTCAATCATTTGCCTTTGGCTAAGTCCCTTATTTATCAGGGTTCACCAGAGTGGAATGAACCACCAACTATTCTAACATTTATTTTAGGCAGCCAATGCCCTTCCAGACACAACCCAATACTGGGAAACACCCATTCACTCTCAAATACACACACACTCATACACTACGGCTAATTTACTTTATTCAATTTACCTATAGAGCATGTCTTTGGACTGTGGGGGAAACCAGTCCACCTGGAGGAAACCTACGTCAACACAGGGAGAACATGCACACAGAAATGCCAACTGGCTCAGCCAGGACTCAAACCAGTGACCTTCTTAGTGTAATGCGACAGTGCTAACCACTGAGACACCTTGCCGCCTGTTTACTAACATGAACAAACTATTAGTATTACATTTATTACTGTATTTATTCATGCTTGTTAACATTAGTTAAAGTCATTAAAGTTAACTAATGTTAGTTCATATTAACTCACAGTATATTAACTAATGTTAACAAGCACAGCTGTGAATTTAAATAATGCATTAGTTAAAGTTGAACTTTAATTAAAAAATGCTTTATTAAATGATTAATTACTAGTTAAAGTTAGTAAATACATTTACTAAAGGACCTTTATTTTAAAGTGTTACCCACTGTTCTTGCATGGAAAAAGAAATTCTTTATGCTCCATGGAGAAAATAACCACAACAGCAGGTCTGGAGTTACATGATGATGAATCAGTGTTTGTTGCGGGTGTAAGGTGTTCTTGGAAATGAACGAATGGCGTCAGACTCACAAATCCAGAGGTGATGCTATGCACACTATCACAGCTTCCGGCACTGTCCATTCCAGACACAGATTCAATGGAAATGCCCCCTGGCCAGGTGTCACTTTTGGGCATCGCACATTTGAAGAGTCAATTGCTGACGAGGGTCTTCAAAAAAGCTTTGTTTAACGATGGAACCAATCTGTCAAAAAAAAAAAAATTAAAACATGTATGTGTATGTATATATATATATATATATATATATATATATATATATATATATATATATATATATATATATATATATATATGTGTGTGTGTGTGTGTGTGTGTATACATATATATATATATATATATATATATATATATATGTGTGTGTGTGCGTGTGTGTGTGTGTGTGTGCGTGTTTATATATATATATATATATATATATATATATATATATATATATATATATATATATGTGTGTGTATGTGTGTGTGTGTGTGTATATACATCTATATATATATATATATATATATATATATATATATATATGTGTGTGTGTGTGTGTGTGTGTGTATATATGTATGTATATATATATCATTATGCTTATCAAACTGTCACAGAGCATCAAAAGGAATTATTTTACAAAAGAATTAATACTGTCAAACAATTAATCACTTTTAATCACATCCAAAATAAAAGTTTGTATAGTTTAAGTTAAAAGCTTTACTAATCCCCTTGGGGCAATTCATTTTGACATGGTGGTGCTTCATATAAAACAAGAATCATTCACTTAACACAATAACCATCAACACTTAACATCAAGTACACAAACAAAAACATACATGTGTACTGTGTCTATTTATGTATATACACTCACTGGCCACTTTATTAGGTACTGTCCAACTGCTTGTTAAAGCTAATTTCGAATCAGCCAATCACATGGCAGTAACTCAATGCATTTTGGCATATAGTCATAGTCAAGACGATCTGCTGCAGATCAAATAATCACACTATAAAGATTTCTTAAGGATGCAGTAATGATGCTGAAAATTCAGCTTTCAATCACAGAAAATAATTGTAAATAGAAAACAGTCATTTCAAATTCATTGTAATACTTGAGTTAGGATACTGTAATACTTTTACCATTTTTGATCAAATAAATGGAGCCTTAACGGGTTAGTTCACCCAAAAATGATCATTTCCTCATCTTGTCAGCACCGATGGCTTGTGGCAGTATGTAAGAATGCTAATCACACAGTGACATGGTATATTACATAAGCTCAATGGTATTTCCTATCTGATAGCATCACCTTGTCGCCACAGCTCTTCTCTGTCCATCTTTATCTAAATCATCTTGCTAAAAAAGGACATATCAGTGACGTCCAGATAATATCCATCATAAATAGTCAAGATTTCAGAGCAGATTAAAGTGATAGTTCACCAAAAACTGAAAATTCAGCTGGAATTGCTCTAGTAGACACGAGACAACAAGCCATCAAACTGTGACCGTCTCGGAAGAACCAAAGCACCAGTCTATTCTCACAAGCTGCGTCAGGTGTGTACGCTCCATCACAGGGTGCCAAGGAGAACCTGTCCGTGCAATCATTTAGGATTATTAAATATTGTGAGACGAACTTAAATATTAAACAAGTCACAAAATCCTACATGATCAATCAAAACAACTCTTCAACGACATCTCTTCTTTGATTGGTGTTTACTGACGCAGGCGGGACTGACCTGTCAATCATTCAAGATCCAACAATAGCAACCCCCTAATGATTTCAGATGTGTCGAATTTATAATGTCTATGATTGTCACGATCACCACCGATCTAGGCTTTGCAGATGGCTGGAAAACATGCATTATCACCCGGACTACATTTCTGCCACTATATGAACTACAAAGTCCTAAAAGTCATTGCTCCAATCCAGTCATCCGGACACTGACATACACACACAGCTGGTAACTCATCATGGACTGATTATCTGGACTATATATTCACCTCTCAAACACACACACACACACACACATGGCTGAGTCTTGTTTTCTGTGAGCATTTCAAAGTGGTATTTCCCGTTTTCTGTTATAGATTACTTCACTGTAAAATACAGACTTAACCTTGGCTGCGCTTCCAACCACTGCACATCAACTAGGACTACATGCTGAGCTGTATAAAGCAAACCGTCACATAAATGTACAGGTAATGATGATTAGAGTTATAACCAGTTTGCGGGTGACTCACGACGCACATTTCCATTGATTCACAAACTATGCGTGCTCCCTTTGTGTGAACTCAGCATTAAGGGTGTCACGATCCTCCAAATCCTCGATTCGATTACATTTTCGATTCTAAAGGCACGATTCGATTCAATTTTCGATTATGAATAATTAATTAATTAATTAATGACCAATTAAGTATTTGTAGCCTACCGTTTAAACTACCTGACCTGCATGGTCTTTGTTTTACCCATAAACAAATCATGAATAGGCAGTGATCTGTGTCGTTATAATGGCGTCGGTAAAAAAGACGCACAACCAACAGGAACCAGCCAACAGTATCTGAGGTGTTCGCTAAAATGACTAAGTACAAGTGAGTGAAAGATTGAAGCAGTCCTCTGACTGCCTGGACCTGCTGTCTCAAGCTCATATGGCTGTGTGCGTCTGTGTCTGTGTGGTCACGTGATGTTTCAGAGGTAGAGAGGAAGGAGGGCTGCTCAGAAATGCTACACGCCACTGTGGATGTCAAATCGTTGTCGTTCTAAAATGCCATTTAAAAACAAACACAGTGTAAACAGGGCCTGAGTGTGTACTTTTCGCGAGCGGATTTGCAACGGGGGCGGGCGGAGGATCGCGATGCCGGTGTTGTCTATCGGACGAACCGTACGTAATACGTACATAGCAGAGCTTGCAAAACTGTGTTTTTTTGTCGACAACACGAACGTTGTCAACATAACTCACTGTAAATCCAAAATGCGAGAGGGTTTAAGTTCTGTCGACGGGTCTCCTGCGTCTGCAGTTTAACAAGCACTTCAACAAGCCTGTTTTTTTCCCGCTTGGCAAGCCAAGCTGATGTGACATGGGGGCGTGGCAGCATCGACGATTCTATTTTTTGATTCGATAATCGAAGTTGAGCATAAATTTCGATCGATTTCGATTAAAAATCGAAATCGTGACACCCCTACTCAGCATATATATAAATATCAGCATAGTTGTCCAAATGAGTGTTTTATAAAAGACGCGCGCCCATACAGGAGGATCTAGCGAGACGCGGTGGTGTTTTAGTGAACAGCTGCTCACTACTGACAGTGAACTCCAATAATATCCTAAAAACCCAACCACCTTCAGATCGATGTGTTTCACAGACTTTGATTGTTTTTACTGTATTTTACTTTTTGTTTATCTTTAATGGATATAGATCAATACATGAATAGTAGTCAGTCCAATTTAAAGCAGCTGTCATCTCCTGTTGTCGTACTGGTTCATTTACAAAAAAAAAAAAGAGGCCCAAATACTCTGAAGTTGTAAAGAATACCTGAAGAATTCAGCAGCTTTGAATCTGTGTATCTTTTAAAAAATAAATAAAATGTATATTATTATATATTCTAGATTTAATTTTATATATATATATATATATATATATATATATATATATATATATATATATATATATATATATATATATATATATATATATATATATATATATGTGTGTGTGTGTGTGTGTGTGTGTGTGTGTTTATATAAAATGCTGTAAAAAAATAAGATAAGCAAATGAATTTTAAGAATATGCATTTTCTCTAGACCATTGATTCTCTAACTTTTTTTTAAGTACCACCTCAGAAAATAAATGTCTCTCCAAGTACCACCATAATGAGCAGTATTGAAATACAGTAGTGTAATAAGCTAATTAGAGCAGCTACAGCTCTGCAGTTTTAGAACGTGGCAGATTTTTAAATTATTATTAAGAATATTTATTATTGTCAGCCATTTTAAACATTGTAATTAGTCTGAACGTTAACACTGTACTGTGCTTATATGCAGGGCCAGACGGAATCTTCAGAAGTTTTTTGCTATTTCTGTGGAGAATTTTGGTAAAAATCTGCAAATTTCTGCAGAATTACTTTGGGAGTATCATAACTAAAACCTTAATATATGAAATAATAAGTGATACCTTTTTAACTTTTATTTAATGTATGAATGCAAATCCATTTGGTAAACAAACCAAGTCTCTCATATAATATCTCTACTCAAAGACAGAAAAACATTACTTTACAAACTGTGTTGTACATAAATCAGATGAACATTTTCATATTAGTCAATAATATTGCTGTAATTAATTAAAAAACTGAATACATTTAAATTTAAACACATTTACTCAAGTAAATAAACAAAATTAGTGATGGGCTAAAAATCTGCAGAAATCTGTGGAATTTTGCGTGCGCAGATTCCGTGTGGGCCTACTTATATGTAAAAAAAGAAACAAATAAAAAACTAAAAACGTCAACATTTAAATTAAAAATTGCTTTTAAAAGTTAAAAGTGGTAGGTTAATGTTCTTAAAAAGTAAAAAAAAAAAAAAAAACAGTGATGTACTTAAATGTAAAGTGTTAACATATAGTAGTCAATTCATCAACACTGGAAATGTTGCCTGGACCTCAGAAATATAGGCTATATGTTATATAATAAATAATATTATATGTCATATTCATATATAAATAATTGTTGATAAATTTTGAAATATATGTAGCATGTACATATGACACATTTGATATCTCTGCGTACCACTAGAAGAAAGCCCACGTAACACAGTTTGAGAACCACTGCTCTAGACAATCAGTTTAAGAAAAAATGTCAGATGTGGGCCTTAAAAAAATCTTCGGAGAAGGAGGTGAGCCCCGAAGTGAAAAAAGGTTTATAACCCCTGGCTTCAGTTTGTACCTGTTGACTGCTGTCTGCCAGACCATTCTCTGTTAAATAAAGCTGCACGTGGGTTCTTAACTCCGTTGTCAGAACCACTTTTTAACAATGATTATAAGGTAATCGTTGATTTAATGATTACAGAGTATGTTAAGCTTTCAGGAGTCCAAAAGCGTTGACTCTGAACAACCATAAGGCAGTTATTATGACCTCATAATTGAAGTTATGAAAGCAAAAAAATCGTCATCATAAAGGTGTGTTTATTCATTTATATGATGCATTAATATCATCTGAGCAA